GCCAATACCCTGAAACCAATAAGGGACGATTTTGTTCACAGTGGTATAATAACAGACCTTGGCCTGAGCATTCGGGGATAAAAAATGCTGCCTTTTGCTACTGTTGTAGGAAATTTGGCACGAGCATTGTGGAGAAAAGTTTCACTGATGTAGGTTACAGAAACTGGAAGACGGCATCGTCATCTGGTAAAGGAATCAGAAGGCATGAAACCTCAAGTGACCATCTGCTATGCATGGCACTTTGGTTGGAACATCAGATACGCATTACAAAAAAGATGGAAGTCAGCACCCTTTTCAGTGATGCTAAGCTAGAGTTTCATCACTACTATCTGTGGGCAATTATCGAGATCATAGAGATTCTAGCTGGGAAGAAAAGCGCCTTAAGGGGCAACTATATCAGTGAACTTGGTATCGAGGACGGATTTTTTTCGGACCATGTTCAACTTTGCCATCAGCAGAGATGAGAAACTGGAAGAAATCCATAGCTCAATTCCATGCAACGCAAAGTATACATTACCTGAAATCCATAATCAGATTCTCGATCTATTCGCGAAAACTATCCAGCAAAGAATCCGAGATGAAGTTGGTGATAAGAAGTACACAATAAAGGTGGATGAAACTCGTGATAAGTGCAACTGTGAAAATCTGTGCTAATGTGTGAGGTATTTACAAGACGGAAATATTGTTGAACATCTACTTGCAGTTATTCAAGTTTCCAGTTTTGATGCACATTCCTTGACTGACTCCATCATAGCAATACTTCAAGAGCATCACTTTAGTTTGGAAAACGTTCTTAGCCAATGCTATGATGGAGCTAGTGTGATGTCGGGACGATCTGAGGGTGTTCAAAAACTTCTCCAGGAAAGACTGGGCCGATTTGTCCCCTACGTGCACTGCCTAAACCACCAGCTACACCTTGTAGTTGTGCATGCGATTTCGGCTGCAGATGTCGACGTGGACGCCTTTTTTGGCACTTGCAACATCCTGTGCAACTTCATACGTAAGCCAACTGTGTCTATTCACTACATTGGGAAGCACTGAAATGACTGTTTAAACAGT